TTTATCAGGATGAACTAGGATGACTTCATTGAAAGAAGTTCGCAATCAACTCTTGATAATCCACGATGAAGGTGTGTTAAACGATGACGAACTTCTACTGTTGTACGATTTAAACCGGTCTAATGATCTCGACCAACCTTATGAGTCCTTTCCTGATTTTAACTTCGATGGTTTGAAGACGACGAGTGCCTGTCCGAATTTCGCTTCCACAAACGCAACTTACCGCTTCTCGCTGAGTTGTACGATGTAGTAAACGGACTTATTATCAGCAGAGGTTTAATCAACCTGGTGCAACAAATCAGTGTGCCGACTGATAAAGATCTAAGTAAACCACTGATCTTACGACTGAAAATGGAAACAGCTACACAAGTTTTAATGGTGTCTATCCTTTTAAATGTGTTAGAATTTCACCATAATGAGCCATTTGACATTTGAGTACTTCTTGAAAGGAAAAATTTTGATTGAAATTCGTGTAAGTTTTCTTTATTTACATAAGCTTTCAAAAAATATATTTCATGGTACTCACAAGTTCGCCGACTGGCTTAAGTTCGCTTCAGATTTCTCGACGTTTCTCTAAAATGAAATATCTCACATAGCAAGAGAAAACAAGCACTAAAGTTGCTCGAAATAAGTAACACGGGTTATTTACACAGCGGAGGAAACGAAAGTGACAACTATGTTTCTCGTGACGGATTCTATTGTCTTCACGCGTAAAGAGTCTCTGGCAATAACGGCACGATGAGGACATGTTTCGCTCAGAGACTCTTTACTTCAAATGAATTAAGGCAGTTGAAGCATTATTTTTATCCTAAGCCGATAATTATTGGTGATTTAGTTGATCGTTACGATCATAAGAGAAAGGGAAAACAAAGGACTTGAAGAGGATGAGGAGGAGGAAGAAGAGGAGGTGGAGGAGGAGGTGGAGGAGAAGAGGGAGGTGGAGGAGAAGGAGGAGGAGCAGGAGCAGGAGGAGAAGGAGGAGGAGAAGGTCGAGGAGGAGGAGGAGAAACAGGTGGAAGACGAGGAGGAGGTTGAGAAGGAGGAGGAGAAGGAGGAGAAGGTGGGGGAAGAGGAGGAGGAGGTGCAGAAGGAGAAGGAGGTGGAGGAGGTGGAGAACGAGAAAAAGGAGGAGGAGGTGGAGGAGAAGGAAGAGAAAGAGCTGTCGCTACCGTTTTGACTTTCGTTATCAATGTCTGTTCAAACGTCTTGGATTAGCTTATATTGATTGTTGTAATCAAGTCTTATACTCTATTTGTTCCAGGCTCTAAAATGTTCTTTCTTTAAATTCCGCGTTTAATCATTCTGTACCGTCTTACATTTGCTTAAAAGAAGTGCTTTTATTAATTTGTCGGCAGCCTATTCTCGGGGATCATTACAACAAGGACTTCAGACGGCGCATGGAGACGAGGCAGTCACGAAGAGATTACGTGGGCAATGTGGACCGGAAGTTAACAAATGGTGGAGGATTGGGAAACACTTGCTCTCCTTTCCAAGCCCTCCATATGCCTGTACGTCCAAGTCAAAAGTTGCTTTTTTTCTCCAAAGAACGATTAGAGAACTTCATTGCAGAAAAAAGTTACTTTTAACACATTATAAACTCAAGAGAACTTATTAGTTACATTTTTATCAAATTTGTTTTTCTTAGTTTAGTAGTTGTCTAGTTATTATACTCTAGTGTAAATTCACACTACTTCTGTGAAGACTGTGAAAATAAGATACGATTTCGTGTTTGAATAAAGACTGATTGATTGATTGATTGATTGATTGAGCCATTCAAACTCCTCTTGTGAAAAGTGTGACATTATAACGTTTGTTAATTTGTGTCCTCTTCAGACTAAGGCATAGATACAAGACACGATATAATTCACACGTTTTCGTTAATTTTTGTTGACAGGACACTAAAGAGTACGAGCTTCCTAAGAACATGCCGGTGACTCCACGTATGATGCACAAGGCGGGTCGATCATCAAGTGAGCCAGTCTGGGTGACAGTCCGACAGGGAGCTCTGCCGCCATTACCCGCAGTCAAAAGATCGGACAGCTTCCTCACCATGGCCGAGTCCGCTTCAAGAAACGCCTCACAGTTGTCGTTTATGGTGGAGTAGATCACGCTTTTGGTGAAAGATTAGAGCGACTGTCTTTTGGTTCGTTATGATTGATATCTTCATGGCAATCAGAGCGGGTAAACAACATCTGTGTCTTTGCGATGTCTCGCCTGCACAAATACTTTCTCTTGTTGCTAACTTACTTCTATCTCCGAGACTGTGCGAGATATTTCAGAATTTAGCACAACGAAGCTTACTGATTCGAGTCGGTTGTGAAAAATCGTGGGCTATAATTAGCCAATCAGCTTCACCGTGACACGTCATCAGTGTGAAATGTCGTTCGTCATTTCCAGGGCAAGAGAGAGAAGGAGAGGGAAAAGTCAACCGTGTTTATTCAATTGTTATTCTGAAGGGAAAGCTATCATCTGTTTCAAATGATTGTAGCATTCTTGTGACTTGCTACACTACGATACTTGTCAAGGAAAGATTACGTTACGAGCCAAACGAATGCCTACATTGAGAGGTTACCTTTGAGTCGTTCAGAAATATGATAGAAGAGAGGGTATGCCTCGAGGGGTCTGCCCTCGCACTAACAGGAACTTGCGGAAAAGAGACACTATGAAGTGATGGAAATCCAAACTCAAGGTAGTGCTGTTCATAAAACGAAAGATGGCAGAACTTTCTTGGAGTTGAGTCCAAACCAACAACAACTTAATAGTTTCGTTGATGATCCAAAATAAATCACATGACATGTATTTATCTTTCATAATTATATAGTTACGCTCAATATAATTTATTGTACAGTTGCTAAACACGGATAATTTTTGTAAATAATATTCTATAGGTGTACCTCTAGGATCGAAAATAGTGATATAGAGGACAATTCGAGTATTTTTAGTGTTCTATGAAATATGAATTTTGAGTTTTCACAAAAATTGGGAAAAGCTTAGAAATATGAAGGAGAAATGGAGAATTTTGGTGCCTGCAATGCAATGAAGCCATCGTAGAATTCTGCAATCAATAATGACTAAAGAGCATGCTTAGATTATGGATGTTTTTATTAAAGAAATCATTACGACAACCTTATCAGCCAATTTATTTAATTTTTGCGTTGCCACGTGGCAAGAATCTCAATCAGTGTGTCAACTTTGGGTCCTTATTTTTTTTTATTTTTGTTTGTTTTTTTTTACTCACTCATCTTCCCGTGATATTTCACGTTCACCGGGTCAGGCCTTACACTTTAAATCTGATTCAGCGTGGTGCAAATGACTCTGACTCTACAGCACGGTCGGGGACTGGAACAAGTTACCCCTTTTGGAGCCCAACCGGAAATCAGTGACGCCACTTTGGCACAACAGGGCCAATATCCAGCGCGCGTTCGTAGAATAATTGAACCAAGGGTGTTGATACCTTGGGAGGGCGGCTACAAGCTACATGCAAGAGAGTTGATAAATGGGTTGTTTAAAGCACAGAAGTATTTCACGTGAATGAAAACTAAGATATATAAACTACTTTTAAATACTCAGCTCTACAAATTCATATCTGTCTGTACAGTGCTAACTTTGATTTTATTTCTGCCTTGTGTAAGGTTTGTATTGTGATGGGCATGAATACAACGTACTTCAAGATTCTCTTAAGGAAATATAACATAGATCTTAGTTTTTAAGTGTAAACATTAATAAATTAATCAATGCTCATAATCAGCCATTTACATTACTTCTGACCACATTTCCTATTACACGTCATTTACTTTATCGTCTACTGTAGCGTCTACTGTATTAGCTACTGTAAGTTCTATAGCGACCCTACTGGTTTATAACTGTACACATTACCTGGAATAACTTGAAGCAATAATTCGAGCATATATGTACACGCGGTTCATGTAGCAGCGCATTTTTGGCAAGAGCCGAGCTTAAATTGACTTTTGGTTTATAATCATTGTTTTAAGGTCGAGTAATACGGACACGGGAAATTGTTAAGATGTCTTTCGATGTAATCCTGTAAATTGACATCGAGCCTGGCTGAATCAATTGCTGTTAAATGCTGAGTATGTCTTAGAAGTCATCCAGGAGGTCAGTTCTGGTACTGACTGGAGAGTGCGCTCCAAACTGTCTTGAGATGTTCTCGAGTATTGTTCTTTGAGACCGCATTTCTGTTCTTAACGCCATGATGCTGTGAAAGGGTAAGATAGAAATTCTTAAATAATAAATAATACACAGGACCTTCCGCTCAGACTTTGAGAGAAATCTCACCAAAGCTCCTTTACACCGTTGTGCGTCGGTTTTCTTAGTGAAGTCGCGGATTAAATAAGAGGTTGTAATAGATCAAACATGAAAGATGGTGTTTGACCACATTTCCAAACACCGAGAAGAGGGTTGAAAATACGTCGCGTAGCGGAGTATTTTTGACGAAATTCGAGGTGTTTGGAAATGAGGTCAAACAATGTCTTGAGCGTTTGATATAACTTTTCAATCGGAATTAAAACTAAAGAGAAAAGGGCGAAATAAAATCGTAGAAATCTATGCTAATTAAGATCATGTATCCAAACACAGTCGCAATGATGATTCATTTTGTTTTGAACTTGATGAATTAAAATTTTTCCAGTTCGTTGATTTAATCCGTGTTAATCTTCTCCATCCTTTAGCATACTTGCTTCTTTATGGTGTTTTTCTATCTTAGTAAATAACTATTTTGAGGTTTCCTTCAATTTTAAGTTAATTTTCTACTTGGCCAAAATAACCCAAAACACCTTGACTGAACTCATTTAAATGAAACACTGGCTTCCATTTGTTGGCTGACTCACCTATCTTGATGGGTCTTAAGTTGTTCATGAAGCTGCGTCATCTTGTCTTCAGCGGAGTTAATATTTTTAATTAACCGACATGGAGCATTATCTACCAGCCCCAGGTACCACTGGCGAGGAACAAAAAAACAAAAAACAAAAAATCATAACTTGTTACCCTCTTGTTGCTACACATTCAGCAACACAGTTTTAGTCAGTTATCATTTAACAGTGATCGTGTGGATGGAAAATACATATGGGTTATTGACCAAGCGTGAGGCCAAGATGGCTGGATATTGGCCAAGTTCTTTTTCTGCGTGTTTATGGATCGAGACGGAATCGAGGTCCATAAACACAAAGGAGAAGATCGAGGCCAATATCCAGACATCTTAACCTGACGCTTGGGCAATAAAGGATGTATCATATGGAAAAAGAACACTATTTGTATGCAGGACACAGCAGGTAATCTCGAGCGGGTAAGATAGCGCCATCTTGCCCGCTCGGGTAGCCAATCACAGCGCAGGATTCGGTTCATCTTTCCCGCTAAAGGAGCTAGCTATATACCGTAAAAT